AACGATGGTAGGTTGCGAAGTTTGAATTCAACATACCTTGCCAAATGAATGGAACACGTTGCTTAATGTAATAATTTTGAACCATTCGGAAATATGTGACTGCAGGACTATTTGGCTTCAGTATCTCTCTTTCCATTACCACTTTTACTAATACACTTTTGGTAGCAAAATTCTACTTTGTACAAGAGTAACAGAGGGCAACCATGAAGAAATTTTAGCCGTTTTTCAAAGGCGGCTCATAAGACAAGTTTGTATGTGTGTGTGTGTGTGTGTGTGTGTGTGTGTGTGTGTGTGTGTGTGTGTGTGTGTTTCCAAGAAGGTAAAACCATCGTCTGTCTGTTCAACTCTTCTGTCACTTTTAATCTTGAAAAGAAGTGACACACATTGATGTTGTCTCCGTGAGGTTTTATCGTCCTAATTTCAGTATATCGTTGCTGTTTCATGCTTTCGTTACCGACGCGATGATAATAATGCTTCATCTATATTCTTTGAAATAAGGAAGTCATCAGTCATTGGAGATAGAACCAATTTTTTACTTGACAAGTGACGTGCTCTAGAAAGCAAAACATATGTAAACAATCTCATTTTCACAAATTTTCTTGACCACGATCTTGACGGCATGGATACCATATTTAGTCCACTAGCCGATGTAATTGTTGGGATTTTCTTTTTCTGGTCTAAGACTCTTTTGATAACATTCCTGAGTCTATCATGCTATATATATATATATATATATATATATATATATATATATATATATATATATATATATATATATATATATATATATATATATATATATATATATATATATATATATATATATATATATATATATATATATATATATATTAATTTGCCATTTTCTTCTTTCAGGTATCACCAATATTTTTTTCCATTACGGATTACACTGCAGACATTTCTTTCAATACAGTTCCCTCGAATATTGTAAGAATCCAGTTAGAGAAAGATCGCTCGGAGGACAATCAAGGTGGCGTCATCATTTATCTGAAAGAAACGCTTCATTTTCAAAAGTGATAGTATCGTGAACTAAATGATTTAAAGTGCCTATGGACTGAACTTTCAATTGGGTAAAGGCTTATTATGAGTATGTCATACTGCTAACCACGCGTTAACGCTAATGATATATATATATATTTATATATATATATATATATATATATATATATATATATATATATATATATATATATATATATATCCCTTTTGATTCACAATTTCTTTTATTATCTTAGATGTATATTGTGCAGTTAAAACATTGATCAGCCTGCATTGCATATATGGTGATTTACTCTTTACTTTTGAATTTTAAAAGATAAGGTATAAATGGATTTAAACTGCAATTATAGGCAAGTGGACTTTTTTCCTTACTTCTCAAATGAAACATAGGTTTGGAACGGTACGTAACCAATTTTCCTAAACCCTATTTCCAATCAAATTTCATGGTAAGTTTTACACATTAACAGTAGTTGTTGTTTACGGTTTAAGGCCACTTCAGAGGACAGCACAGGCTAAGTATGTCGGCCAATAGAATTGATGGAAAATCCATGCTTTAGACCACTCCATCACCCTGAACCAGTGAGACTAATGCTAATTAAATACATTCAATTTTTTACAGAATGCCCATCACTTTGTTGTCCTTTAAAATTTTGTTTTTTATGTTTTTATTGAAAAAATATGGATGCGTTTAACTTAAAGGTGACAATTTAAGGATATATTTGCAAGAAAATTCGCTCTCTTTCTGACATATAGACCAGATGTTTGACATTCTCTTTTCTTTACAAAGAAAATTCCAAACAATATTTTGTTTGCTCCTCTATATGTTTTACTTAAACAGTCGCAAACATTTAAAATGTAAGCAAACAAACACTTGTCTGAATGTGCCGCAGTTGACAAATAGTCTTAACATTATTGTAGGAAAATGAATTTTTTTAAAACCTTGCATTACAGTGAACACATGTACAAGTTTCTTAATAGCCATGCTCGTGGTCCGATACTGGGTCCCAAACACAAACTATATTATGCGTGAGCCAATGTGTTCAGCCTCCAACAACCCTCTTACAGAAGTCACACCTCGACACTCTTTGCAAGAAATTATATATTTCACCAGTTTGAGAATTGGTATCTAAATGCAGACTATTAACTCTTCACAATATCGTTTGTAAGTGGTTTGAAAGACTCGTTTTAATATAGGTACTTAAATACCTTACAGCTAAATAACATTTGTCAACTTATAGTTCGCTTTATTACATGTAATTCTACAAATATCCCAAAACATTTCTCAGCGATATATTTCGCCAAACAGTAGGTTCTAGTATGGAAATGATAGTCGTGTTTTCCAAACCACTAAAGCTTTCTGGCGCGTGTTGATTAAACAGAATACGACTAGGAGCCTTGTAAAATAGTTTATGCTATTTCAAAAGTAATAAACACTAAAACATATTTTTGTCTGGTAGATTTTGGTAGTCGATGATTTAAGCCCATTGCCATTTTAAATAAAAATATAACATGATGCACTATAAACACTCCAAGATATGTTTATTTGCAGAAGATGAAAGTCTCCTTTTAATTGTAAAATAAAATCCTGCCATAACCTCTACAGTGAGAGAGAAAATAAAAATCCCTCAATGGGAAAATAATTTGTTTGCATCTTTTAATCCTTCTAAACCTAATTTCCAGACAATTTACAAGCAAATTGCTAAAACTCTTCCATTTACCACTATATATCCTCCAATATCGAAATGAGTAAACTGAAGCGCACAAAATTATCGTGGAGTACTTCTCTCGGGCACCTGCTAATGCCCCAACTTATTAGACTATGTAAGACGAAAAGGCAAGGACTAGAATGAATGAAATCTGCCGACTCAGCAATTTGAAAGGAAATCTATAGAAATTACTTTGCATATTACATAGCTAAATTGAAATTGAAAAAAATTAAAAAGAGGTAGCCAAAATCGTGACTCGTGCAACAAAGCTATGTGTTTAAGTTTTTCTCGAAGAAATACGACGAAATGGCATTAAATCCAGACAATAAAAGACAAGGTTACACGTTTTGGCAAAATTACAACTGGTTCAAGCCATACCTTTCTCACAGTTTTGATTTCAACAGCTGATCGTGATATTAATCTCATTAGCTTGCGTAATGTAAACAGTTTTCTTTTAGTGCAAACTAACACAAGTGTTTTCTTTGTTACAACTTTATTCTTCCTTCGGGTATTTGAGAAGGGAACTCATTATCTAACTAGACAAATCAGAGATTTCACTGATATAGTTTCAATAGCTAATTAAATGATCGTGACACTCAAGTACCATACATTAGGGTAGAATGCTTGTTCGACTTAAAATAAATTGTAACTCACTAAATTTCCGCTGATTTAGAAATACTATAATCTGATCATCTCGTTGTAGATGTGAACTTGTCAAAGGCACACATTTCTGATTATCATGTGTTCCATCGCAAGAACAGCTCATCTCACTGTTTAAATCCCGTACACCATATGACAATTTTCCTTAAAATACTTCTTTACACGCTGAAGTAAGGCTTTCCTGTAATGAAACAATAGTATTTTGATGATGTCCTTAACAAAAAGCCAAAGAGACCTCATATCAGCGTTATGAGCAAGCGTTAACAGAAAATCCCTTTTTTATGAACATGATCGGTCATTGTTTCAGCAATTACTACTCGCTCTACAATGCAGCAATGTTTACGTTTAATCTTGCTGTTTTGTTCCTTTCATTTCTTCGTCCCTTTTATCATAGTTATTGACTAAAATCCATGCACAATGCCCTACAAATATTGATTAAAAGTTTTTCTTATCATCTTGTATCTGTTTTCAATAACTCGTGTTGTGCTCCGTTTGTAGTTGTATTTTATTTACCTTGGCTAAATAGATACAATTCCATTTGACCATGCAACAGAAATTCTTCAATAAAACTATAACTTATCTATATTAATGAGAACAATTATCTGAAGTGTAAAATTCGCAAAACTTTTGATGGTAGGAAGAGAATGCTTTTGTTGTTTTAGAGTTTAACGCCATTTTTCAGCACAAGATAAGGTTTACATGACGGCCAGTATTAATGATGGAGCAAGAACCCGGAAACACCCTGAAAGAAACACCTTCCCACAAGATGCTACTTGCAAGTGTTCTCATATGCCCTCGTTGGCTGAATCCGAGACTCGAACCCACGCCGACAGAGGCGAGGTGGCAATGATTTTTATCGCTGGGCGCTTTAGTCCACTTGGCCACTCGGGGCCCATAGAAAATGATGTGACAAGCTAAATATCACAATCCAAGATTGTTAAAACTTGAATATTGTTCTAGTCTTTATGCAAACTGGTACCCTGAACTAGTCTTTTGCAAACTTGTACCCTGAGCTAGTCTTTTCGCAAACTGATGCCCTGATCTATTATTGTTACAGAATGGTACCTTGATTTAGAGGGCACCTCTACAGATATGATGAACTCTGAGAGAGTGACAGGTGCAAGATGAAGTTGTTTGCATTTACAAAGTGCTCAGTGAAGAGAATAATGGTATAACTCTCAGTTACTTTCATGTATTGAGGCCTCGATTTGGAGGTATTGCCATTGTGAAAATTGTACACGATCTAAGCACACTAATTAACAAAATAACTGTTCCTGTGTGTTTGAAATTCAACAAGAATTAGTCTCAAGTACGCTATCTTCAGTAGTTTTGAAAACATGGAAAATTACTTTTGCTAGACTAGACAATGCCAGCTTCTGAAATCGCAATCAGTCAATTACCAAATATATAAAATGTAAAATAGTTATCCATTCCCATTTTCCAATTTAACTCTGAAGTTTAGGATAATAAAGTGACCAAGCAGAGCTAGCATTTGTTTTATGCATGCACGTCTGAATTAAGGCCAAGCTGAATATTCCATAACGCATATGAATTTATCAATCATACACCAAACTAAAGAGAATTTAACTGCTTTTAACAAGACAGAGGTCAACCGCTCCTGTGGCTTAGTGGTTAGAGCGCCGGCCTCGGATGCGGGAGGTTGTGGAATTTTTGATCTCCGGTCGAGTCATACCAAAGACTTACAAAAATGGTACTAACAGCTGCCTCGCTTGGCGCTCAGCATCAAGAGGTCAGTGTTAGGACTGGTCGGCCTGGTGTCAGGATAATGTGACTGGGTTTGACATCATGCTACATGTCTGATGCATAATACCCCAGTGCTAGACATCACTTTAAACTGCCACACTGCAGTTGTCGTAGCGATATGACTAAAACATTGTTAGAGCTACGTTTAAAATCACAATCACATCTCATCACAAGACAAAAATTTAAAAGGTATTGTGTTAATTAGCCTGTAGGAGAAGTAATGAGAACAGTTAATATATTTTTCTTTAAAAATGTATCCCTATGAAATACAAGAAACTGCAGGGCCACCAAAGTTGTTATTACATATTTCTATCTCATTCTAGCCATGTTATACCTATACTTGCTGCAGACTGGTACCGTGATCAAGACTTGTTACAGACAGGTACATTGAACTAGTCTTGTTTTAGATTAATATCTTGATCCAGTCTTGTTACAAGGTGGTATCCTAAATGTGAGGTCTTTTTATAGGCGGGAAGATTTCTAATCGGGAAATATATCTAAATAGATCGGCAAGTATGAAAGTAGACTATTATAAACTTATAATGTGTTTTGATTGTTGGATGCATAGACGAAATGAAAGGATTTATGGATGGATTGAAGGATAAATGTATGGATGGATGGAATGATGCATCGATTTATACTTCGATTTTCATCACTCGTTATGTGGTTGAATGTCACGTCCCAATCACGCGCGTTATCATAATACTAAACCGAATCCAACCTTGCATAAATCTCCGAAGTCATTCAAGTTAAAGTACAATGTACTAGCAAACTAAAAGATTTAATCAGTCACTTCTTACAAACACCCGTCAAACCTTTCGTTGTGCATGAAAGCGTTCAAAAAAGGCGTTATAGACCGATCATAAAGGTCATATTGACATATTGCTTAGCTTCAACAATTACACATATACATGCATCAAGTATACGAACGAGTCTGCAAGGGAAATTAAACTTTGTTTCAAAGTGAGTTGCAGTAATGTTAATTTATGAATTAGACAAAACATTTAAGAAAAATGTGTGTATTTTGAAAGAAATATTTGGAGAAAATGTTAGTACTTGCATTACATTGCATTGCATTGCGTTACGTTACGTTACGTTACGTTACATTACATTACATTACATTACATTACATTACATTACATTACATTACATTACATTATATTATATTATATTATATTATATTATATTATATTATATTATATTATATTATATTATATTATATTATATTATATTATATTATATTATATTATATGCTCATATTTTCTCCGGTAACTTTACATTGTCAGAATCGTTTAGTATTTACGGATATTGCATACCTTCATATTATACCACACGCGCTTACTTCAATGGAACTAATTTTTAACGTAAAAATTTTTGTATGAATGGACTAAAGCATATATTTCATGGACTGCCACATGCTAGCAAAGTTTTCATAGACTGACACATACGAACTGTTTTGGCACATTCCGCGTTTACTTTTTTATACAATGTTTCATATTTAGCTAGATATATACACTGTACAGGGTCCTCACAATGACACCCAAGTTTTACACATCAACTGTCTTCTTTAGATGGTAATAAAAATTGCAAGAAATATACTTACAATTCTACATCCTGAATTTCCTCAAAAAATATACTTTCGCATATCTGTAAATCTGAAATACATGAGCCATGTCATGGGTTCTCAAGGTTGATTACACATTTTGAAATTGTACTGTAATTTCGAGTATATTCCAAGTGCAATTACATCCTTCTTCCTGCACTCAAAATGAAATAAACAATAAATTCCAGGGCATGGCATCTTTTTGATAATTGCAAAGGAAAGGCTTCATAATTTTCCCACATTGTGATCTGAATTTTTCAATGATAGAAAAGAAACGCACATGCCGATGTAAACACAATTCAAAACGATTAAATTGGCAGACGCTGCTCAGATACGATGCAAGTCACTTCATGTAGTTAAATCGATACCATCATCAAAAGACTGACTTGAATCGACAAAGATACCAAAAGATCAAATGGAAAAGTTGATGCAATGAGTATTCATTACAATATTACTCTAAATTTTGATTTTAAGTAGACCAAACGACATTTTCTTTCGAAACTTATATCTAACGCGCGACCAACTTCAAATTTATCTGGGCGGAGTTGTGTGCTCATTAATATTGTTGTGTAATTATCCATCAAAGCTTATGTACATAGTTTGGAATACAGCATACATTTAGTTACTTTGTTTCTTGTAGTGTATTTTTGTTTATATATTTAAGCCTTGGGAAGAATAAAAAATGAGCATTTAATAAAAAGGTTACTGTATTGGAAATGGGAAAATATGAAATCGTTTTTTCGGAAGGTCGAGCAGTATATCCATCCGAAAACCTCGTTCATATTTTCCCATACAAATACCGTAAACTATAAATATATGATTTGTCAAAATATTTGGTATAGTTTTCTCATAGTATTTATCTTACCACAGGTTAAAACATAACTTTATGTGATTTTGATTGGTATAAATAATCCCGCACATTATTCTCTTTACTGATTGGCTGCGATCATATAAAAACTTTCTAAACCATTCCGTCTGGAATTTCCTGCATTTAGTGAACATTTGTGACCACCATTTCTTGAATCGACTAGCGAATGGGAATTGAAGGGTGATGTCCTCTGTTTCGGTATGGCTAATTTACCCAAACATTGCATGGCATGAAAAATACCTCGAACCACAGGACAAAAACAATAACAACAAGAGCAAAAAAAAAAACTTCGAGTATTGCTTGTGTGGTGTTGGGGTTGAGGGAGGCGGTATACTTCTATCATAGAATCCAACCTATATACAAGCGTGGTTTTAATGTAAACTTACAGAAGTAAATAAACGTACCTCTGTTAAGCGAAGAATATGGACATAAACCGGTCTCCAAACTGACTGGTTATCCAAACAATGCATATTTACGCGGTAAATATATGGTGCATATCCGAGCAAAATGAAATTGTTTGCATATGATGTAGTCCACTATTCCAAATAAAATACGGTAAATATCCGGTCAAAAAAATACATTGCAGTAAATATGTAAATTTCTGGAATAATAATACTTTTTTACTCAATATCAATATAATGTTTAGCTGTGAAAGTAAAACATTAAAGTTTCGTAAAGTTGGATTGTCAACAATGCCACATCACACACATTAAAAATTCTGAATTGAAACACGATTTTGTCAGTAAAATGTTCTGTTTATTCGGAAGGACGCTTGCTCTTAGATTTATAGTTTGTAAGAAAATTACAATCTACTTTAAAACATTTATACAAGTTCAACTATTTTTACGCACAAGAAATGAAAGTGTAAACGTCCGTCAGAATGAATAAAATAATCCGTTCTTCTTTGTGTCTTCTTTCTTCTCACCAAGGCTCGCAAAAGCGGAACATTTTTCAAGTCGTTCATAAATTCAATATTAGGTCATTACCCATTTGACATTACATTAGTTTACATCACATTACATGCCATTATATAACGTCTTACACTTTCTGCACCAGAGCCTGTTTATCCAAAGATTTTTGTTTCGCTAGGTATTTACATTACACACACACGCACCGCACACACACACACACACACACAAGCACACACACCACACACAGACACATAAACACTCACACACACACACACACACATATATATATATATATATATATATATATATATATATATATATATATATATATATATATATATATATATATATATATATATATATATATATATATATATATATATATATATCATCATCATCATCATAATCATCATCATCATCATCATAATTGGCAGCTAAGTCTTAGAAGACCATCTGATTAGCGCCCTTGGAGTGTTGTTTATTTCTAGAGTTTAGGCATCGCTTGTTATGGCTGATCAGGCCAATGCGCGAGTGACAGTCCCTAATGCAGTTGGAGCAGACGTACAGGGAAGTCTGATTTGCTTGGTTTGCTGCTGCACGCTTCTTTCTTTCGCGTTTCTCTGCAGCCTACTGGACTCTCCTCCCATCAGCGAATGCCATGCCCTTGTGCCATAATCCTATGCCTGTATTTCCCAGCTGTCTGGTGAAATAGCGCACGTCTTCATGTCTCTCTTGCACACATCCCTGAAGGGGAGTGACGGACGGACGATTCTTCTGGTGCTAGTGGCCAACTGGCCATATAGAATTTCCTTTGGCAGCCTCCCATCCTCCATGCGTCGGACATGTCCCAGCCATCGAAGGCGAAATTTGCTCAGCAGGGAATATATACTTGGGATACTTGCACGTTGAAGAACCATGTTATGTGGAATATGGTCTTGCCAGCCGATGTTCAGGATGCGTTGTAGGCATCGTATGTGGAAGGAGTTTAGTTGATCCTCTTGCCTCGTGTAAGTGCTCCACTTCTCACTTCCATACAGGAGGGTGGTGAATCTTGGTGTGCACTGTCAACGCTCTGTTTTCCCCTACCATCTTTATTGGTCGGACCATGACAGTGTTTGCCTTTTCAACCCTTCTCTCCAGCTCCACGTCATGAGAAAGAGTGTTGCCGATGGTTGATCCCAAGTAAATATAGTTATTGACTACTTCCAGGGTGGTGCCGTAGATTTTGATGGAAGGGGCAGTGGTGACATCTTGAGCATTGATATTTGTCTTTTTTAGGCTGGTGGTGAGCCCGAACTGATTACATGTATCAGCGAAACTGTCTCCCAGTCTTTGGAGCGCATCCTCAGTGTGGGTCACAAGAGTCGCGTCGATAGCAAAGAGCATCTCACTCATGAGTACTTGCCTCACTTTGGTCTTTGAGTGCAGTCGTGACAGGTTGAACAGCCTCCCGTTGTACCTGGTGTGCAGATAAACGCCATCAGTGGACGTGCTGAGGGCGTGGGACAGGAGCAGGGAGAAGAAAATGCCAAAAATGGTTGATGCCAACACGCAT